AATGGGATGCTCCTCCACAGATCTGACCTGTAACATGGCCTGGTAGTGTCATTTGCTTGTTTCCATGGTTCTAAATTTTAGTTTTAATACCATACTATGAAAAATTCCATTGCCTTTAACAATATTGTTTGAGCATCTCTACAATCACATTAAAGAGACATTTGGCCTATTCACATATCTTGCTTTTAATGACACTCACTACGCTTCAGATCCATAATGCATATTTATTCTGTTGCTTTTGTCTGTCACTTGAGCGTGTTTTAAAAATGAATGCGACGCCCACACATCCATCTGCTGCGTGCACAAAGACTACAACCTCGGGGAGAGAGAAAGAGGTGTCCGTGGGATTCTCAGAAAAATATTGGGGGGAAAAAAAAAAAGTCACAGAAATTCCACGTTTCAAAATGGAAATGAATGCAGATATAATACGGCAAATGTTGGCCTGATGCTTTGTTTTGATTTCTGCAGGTTACATCAGGCTTTAATATAGTGAAATAAAATCCAAATGGAGTACATGAGTAGCATACATTTTGCTTAGACAGATCCTAGAATTAAATTTTCTCAAAAATCTAAACAAAAAAAACAAAAAATAATAATGATTACACAAAATGCCCCAGTACAGATGTATTGAACAAGCAACGGTTGAGGTCACAAAATACACCCACTGCACGCTGTCTGTATCTAATTATAAACTGCTTTATTGCGCAATAATCAGGAAGTATGTGTTAGCATGCTAGTTGTTGTTAGTCTTACAGCCTTTAAAGGTGCTGTAGCAGATTTTTACTGTGTTAAAAATGTGAAAAACAAAGCAAAGTCATATTAAATTGCGTTATTTTCTGATCTATGTTATAATGTTGTTTCCTCCTCAAAAACATAAGTGGTGTTCTTCTCTCAAATAGAGAAAAACCTGTTCCACTTTGTGATGTCATGTGGTGATATACGAAGTGCTCCACTGTGTTTTTAAGCCCCATATACCTCCACTAAAAGTAAAAGGTAACTGCTGAACTTGAAAACTACCACTTCATGGCATCACAAGGTGGAACAGAGCATTTTGAACTTTAGAGATGTAGACAGACTGATAATAAATAATTACTCAAACATGTGTGAAACAAAATTACATTATAACACAACTTAAAGCTCATAAGAGTCAATTTTGCGTAATAAAAGACCTTTAAACAGTTTGCAGTGGTCAGAAGTTATTAATTCATTATTCCCTGTGAATGTTTAAGAGCTTTCACAAGTTTTGCCATGATGGTAAAGCTGCCTGGCCTGATTCATCAGCCGTTTCAATTCATCAAAACCATCTGACCTCGCAGTATTAGGATTACGATGGTAGGCAGGTACTTTTTTTATTTAACCAATCGCTGCTGTTTGGTGGTGGCGTATGTAATGCACCAAATCCCGTAGGTAGAAGGGCAATAACGTCTCTGGAATTGTTGCCAACACAGAATATACAGCTCCATCTACATCCATCTCAACCGTTTTGTTTACTGTTGTTTTGTACCACAAAAGGAACCCAGACAGACGCTTGAGTTTGACATCATGGCTTCACAGCTCTTCACTGATTGGCTGGTGCGCGGTCTACAACTTCTGGGTTTCTTGCAAACGTCTAGTGTATTCCGATTCCTGACCTAGTCGCTGGAGAGAAATAAAATTGAACGGAGGTGGCCCCAGCCTGACTAAAAGCTACCAACAACTAGTAAGCTAACGCGTACTTCCTGATTCTCGGCCAACGAATGTAGACAGTACAGAGCTGATTTATTCGGACCTCAAGAGCTGTTTGTATAATATATCTGCACTGGGACAAGACAAATTTTGCTCCACGGGGAAAAAAATCGGTACCGGCCCTTTAAAAGTCATATTGCATTTCTTCCCCCCAAAAAAATACCGCATCGCTACAGTCGACTTAGTCCAAAATGAAACAAGACTTTCCCTTATTTTGTGCTTGACTTGCCGTGGTAAGCGGAGACTATTTGCAGTGGAGTACATAGCGTGTGTAAGATGAAAGAGTAAGTATTGACAGCTGTGTAAGTGAGCCGCGTTAGATCGTCCAAACACACAGCAAACAAATACAAGACGCTGGAACAACACAGAGACGAGCGCCGCTGTGCTCCAGAGCCTCTCACTGAACAGCGCTGGCCAAATGTGAGAACGATACTGGAATATGAATAGGTAAATGGTAGTTTTAAAATAACACAAGTGAAAGGAGTTGTGTGATTGTTGTAATAAATAAATAAATTAAAGAATCAGGGGCATTACTAGTGTTTAAAAAATACATAAAAGTCTAAATGTTCAGTAAGTTTGCATATTGTGTAAATTGTTGCGTTGTTGTGAGATGAAATGAGAAAATATATAGTTTTTCTTTTACTGTGGCACTTTGAGATTCACAAATCTAAATGTAAAGAGCATTAAGTACAACAACTCACCTTTAACAGATAATACTCCCTACAACTGTACAACAACTCACCCTTATGTAACAGATAATACTCCCTACAACTGTACAACTCACCCTTATGTAACAGATAATACTCCCTACAACTGTACAACAACTCACCCTTATGTAACAGATAATACTCCCTACAACTGTACAACAACTCACCCTTATGTAACAGATAATACTCCCTACAACTGTACAACAACTCACCCTTATGTAACAGATAATACTCCCTACAACTGTACAACAACTCACCCTTATGTAACAGATAATACTCCCTACAACTGTACAACAACTCACCCTTATGTAACAGATAATACTCCCTACAACTGTACAACAAACTCACCCTTATGTAACAGATAATACTCCCTACAACTGTACAACAACTCACCCTTATGTAACAGATAATACTCCTACAACTGTACAACAACTCACCCTTATGTACAGATAATATCCCTACAACTGTACAACAACTCACCATTATGTAACAGATAATACTCCCTACAACTGTACAACAACTCACCCTTATGTAACAGATAATACTCCCTACAACTGTACAACAACTCACCCTTATGTAACAGATAATACTCCCTACAACTGTACAACAACTCACCATTATGTAACAGATAATACTCCCTACAACTGTACAACTCACCATTACGTAACAGATAATACTCCCTACAACTGTACAACAACTCACCCTTATGTAACAGATAATACTCCCTACAACTGTACAACTCACCATTATGTAACATAATACTCCCTACAACTGTACAACAACTCACCATTATGTAACAGATAATACTCCCTACAACTGTACAACTCACCAATATGTAACACATAATACTCCCTACAACTGTACAACAACTCACTATATGTAACAGATAATACTCCCTACAACTGTACAACAACTCACCATTATGTAACAGATAATACTCCCTACAACTGTACACTCACCACACTCACCCTTATGTAGCAAATAATACTCCCTACAACTGTACAACAACTCACCTTATGTACAAATAATACTCCCTACAACTGTACAACTCACCCTTATGTAACAGATAATACTCCTACAACTGTACAACTCACCCTTATGTAACAAAGAATAATACTCCCTATGTACAACTGTACAACTCACCCTTATATGTAACAGATAATACTCCCTACAACTGTACAAAAACTCACCATTATGTAACAGATAATACTCCCTACAACTGTACACTGTACAACAACTCACCCTTATGTAACAGATAATACTCCCTACAACTGTACAACTACCCTTATGTAACAGATAATACACAACTGTACAACAACTCACCCTTATGTAACAGATAATACTCCCTACAACTGTAACAACACCCTTATGTAACATAATACTCCCTACAACTGTACAACAACTCACCCTTATGTAACAGATAATACTCCCTACAACTGTACAACAACTCACCCTTATGTAACAGATAATACTCCCTACAACTGTACAACAACTCACCCTTATGTAACATAATACTCCCTACAACTGTACAACAACTCACCCTTATGTAACAGATAATACTCCCTACAACTGTACAACAACTCACCCTTATGTAACAGATAATACTCCCTACAACTGTACAACAACTCACCCTTATGTAACAGATAATACTCCCTACAACTGTACAACAACTCACCCTTATGTAACAGATAATACTCCCTACAACTGTACAACAACTCACCCTTATGTAACAGATAATACTCCCTACAACTGTACAACTCAGCTGTATGTAACATAATACTCCCTACAACTGTACAACTCACCCTTATGTAACAGATAATACTCCCTACAACTGTACAACAACTCACCCTTATGTAACAGATAATACTCCCTACAACTGTACAACAACTCACCATTATGTAACAGATAATACTCCCTACAACTGTACAACAACTCACCATTATGTAACAGATAATACTCCCTACAACTGTACAATAACTCAACAAGTTTGATAATTCTTAGCACATGTAACACATGTACAGTGTATTTTTGGAAAAGGAGAAAGGAGACTGTAGTTGACGTGCTGTGTCACTGTACAATATATTCTGTTCCTTTGTTTCCAATAAACTGTATTGGAAAAAAAAGAAGAATTTCTCATCGCATGTCTCCAAACGTCTAACTGGTTTGGGACTTTAGCGTGAATAGAGCGTTTAATAATATCCCCGTGGAGACAAAGGTGGAGGACCCCCACCATAAAACTTAAATACAGTGCGCCGTTAAACCCATGATTGAAATAAATAAAGTAAACATATAGCCTAAAGGTAATAGTAAATCCTGTGCAGAGAATAAAATCGCTGTCATATTAAAGAGGCCATTGAGTTCTCACAAAGCTGCTAAATCCAAGAACCTGTCCCATGTATTAAATTCTGTCCCAGTTTCTAGAAATACTTTTAAAATAGGTGAAACGTCGCTAACATTTGGTACTGTGTGTTACGTGATTATGGTCAATTTGCCTGACCTGACACTACAGACACACACACAGACACACAGACAGACGGGTGGGTTAGGCAGTGAGTGAGTGGCAGATACCGAGGAAGGCTGATGGAGACACTGTTCCGTTGCTACGGGAGACCATGACGCTGATCCCGGTTTCCACGAACGGGACGGAGAAATCGATGACCTCAGAACGCTCCTCATTGATCGTCAGAGACCCGACGGCCATGACGGCTTTCTTATAGACCACCTGCAGGAAGGAGAAGAGATCAGGTGAGGAGAGGTTATCACTTTGTGTCACGAGCCGCCAAAGTAAAAATGATGGGTTTCAGAATGAGGAAAAATTAAGATTGTTGCCATTTATTTTGAGCTAATAATGTCACTTTACTACTTTTCTACAAAATGCTGCTTTTAACACCATAAATCTAAGTTGAAAAGGACATTTAAGTGCATTGAATTTAAGACTTTATTGTTTGTTTTTAAAGCTTTGAATGGACTGGCTTTCCAAATTTACATCCCTACACATGCTCTGAGGTCTGAAGGCGAAGACTTAAAGCCAGAAGGGACCGGGTCTTCTTTGTGGCCGGCCCAAAGCTCTGGAACACTCTGCCCCCCCACGTCCGGAGTGTTTTAAGTCTCGTCTTAATACCCGCTTTTATTCTGTGGCACTGCACACTGCGTGAGTTGTGTGGTCCTCTGTGTATTTTTTTTATTTTTTTTTTTATTTTATTGGTTTTATGTATTTGTTGCTATTCTGTGGTTTTGCTCTGATTTTATTTTACTGGTTTTGTTGTTTTAAGACCAGTATGATTAAATCTGAGCATTTATTTTATCATTATTATGTATTTGTGCAGCACTTTGGAAACTGTTTACGAAATGTGCTATATAAATAAAGTGGATTGGATTGGATAAAGGCGCACTATGTAACATTTCTGGTGAAAGGTATGGTATTGCTTTGCCTAGAAAGTTACACAGTATGTTGTTAAACGTAGTCATCTCCATGGAGACAAGCAGGTGATACCATAGGGCCTTGTCATTTTTGAGCCATAAAAAAATTTGAAACTGAATAATTGTAAGATACATTTAATGCCATACCGTGGAACATTCCAGGCAAAGCAATAACATCAAGAAAAAGTTACATAATGCATCTTTACATACTGTATTTTTCAGACTTAAAGGCGCACCGGATTATAAGGCGCAGTATTAATAATGTTGAATTCTCTCGTCTATTTTCATACATAAGGCGCACCGGATTATAAGGTGCTTTAAGCGAAACAAACGAACAACACTTGAGACTGATCCCATTGGCAGACCGTGGAGTAACTCGCCCGGCGTTGCATCCCTGTCTTGGTGAATGTGTATTATGAATGTGGGTGGATAATTAAAGTTAAATTTTTTATTTCCTATGAGGACGGCTCAAATATACATTGAGTAATAATGTGTTTAATTCAGCTTTGCACACATTTGTTTACATTTTACAGAAACAAAACTTAAAACCACATGGCTAATTTGCATAAACTATAAGCACTGAAAAAACAGCTCGCTCCTTGTGCGCTGATGCGTTCAACTTCTGTCGGACTAAAGGACACGACTCAGTGGAATATGTGTGTTCTTTCTGTGACAGAGGATGTGCTGCTGATAGTGAGTCTGTTCTGTGACTGTATTGTGTTGCAGATGGTTCATGTGAAACATTTTCAGAGATCTGCGAGACTCCTGACTACAGTAGCTCTAAGGCTCCAACAATCCATCAAGAGGTGTGGCTTCGTAGTTTACCATACTAAACCATTTTGACAGATTTTTGAGCGCCGTGTACCACATAAAATTAGTTCGAAGTCAATAAGCACAAGCAGACTTAATACATAAGGCACACTGGTAACACTTTATAATAACTACACCTTATTTAGCCTTAATAAAGCATGAACAAAGACTTAATTAATGATTCACACTTAGTAAATGCTTAATAAAGCATAATTCGTCTTCACTTTAGAAAAGCTCTCAAAAAGACTTATAACAGATAACAGCTGCCTGAATTATCATTGCATTGCATTATTAGTAAATCATTCTCTCATAACTTACTAATGATTAATAAATGCTCAAATGGTTAGTCCATGAGTAATTAAGTATGAAATAATTATGAGTAACTATTTACAGCACAGGCAAATTAAGTGCAAGTGCTAATTAAGGTAGTAATTAAGTAGTTACTAAGCGTGAATCATCATTAATTAAGTCTTTGTTCATTATTAATTAAGCCTTTGGTCATGCTTTATTAAGGCTAAATAAGGTGTAGTTATTATAAAGTGTTACCGGTGCACTGGATTATAAGGTGCACTGTTGATTTTTGAGAAAATTTAAGGATTTTAAGTGCGCCTTTTAGTCAGAAAAACACGGTACTTTTTATGTTCCAACCAACATGCCAATAGCCCTTTTAATTAAAGGTCCTATATTACACAAAACTGACTCTTGAGCTTTAAGCCTTGTTATTATAATGTTGTTAAATCATCAAAAACATACCAAGAGTTGTGTTTTGTTTCATTCACACATGTTTGAGTAACGCTGCATCAATGGGCTGTAAACATCTCCAAAGCTCAAAAGAGGGAAGAAACATGCAGAATATGTATGTAATAAACATCTGTGAAAACACAACTCCAGCTATGTTTATCATGAGCAAACAACATTATAACATTATAGATCAGGAAAAAAATGCAGAATGTGGGCCCTTTAAAGCAAATTTTGTACTAATCAGCTATTTGTCACTACTATTTAACCCATGTAACTACTTAGATCTTGAGTGAAAATAACTAACTCATAAAAGCTGCACACACTGGTGAAACGCGGTGTCACATATAAACATATTTTATTAAGCACAGTTTTAATCACTGGTGCGGAACTTTAATAAGAATCATAATATGGCGGTGACAGTTATGGCTAAACAGGAGTCTATTTTTCGTCATAAAAAACCCAGACAGCTGTAAAGTTTAGTAGCGTTAAATGAACAGGCAGAGTTTAGCTCCGAGTCGGGTCTGTAAATTAGAGATATGCACAAGAGGAGCTCAGATTAGTTTATTTTGTGAGATGATGCCAACGCCGCATGGCTGAAAACACTAATTCGCTTTTTGAAACTACAGCAAAACAAACTCTATACATTTATGCAAAGGAACTGTACTGTGTACCAGTAGAGACTATGAGGACCTATAGGGGGCGCAAGTACTACATAACACCAATAACCATACCTTAAAGATGAATTCATAGTTTAACTGTTTAAAAGAATGACAACTTATAAGGTTTAGAAGTTTAGGTTACAGTATTAAAGATTGAGATTTGAGATTTATATTAAGAAATTTACATTCTTTGACAATGCAACATATAACATTAATGAAATCATGGCAGAAATAACAAAGACAAAAAATTTAAAAAATTTGCCTAAAAAGGAGTGGGAAGAAGAAATCTAATTACTTTAAGTTGCATTTTTGTATGAAATAAAGTTTGATTTATTGATTGAATTTATTTAATCGCACCCCCCTCTGCTAATCTAACACAAAAGACCGTAAAGATTAAAGATCGTATATTACCCAAAATTGACTCTTGTGAGTTGGGCTGTAACAATAACCGGAATATCGTGATATCGTATCGTCAAAGTTCTCACAATAATATCGTGCACCATCACAATATATCGAATTACAAGTCTCTTTTCTTAAATTAAAAGTTACGGTACAGCAATAGCTAAAAAAAAAAAGACAGAGGGAACTACATAGACCATGATCCTTTGCTCCATTTCACAGTAGACTAAGCTATTTTAGTCTTAGTTCTTTGGATTAAGTCTTGTCAAGGCATTTTAAGAGGAAACAATTGCATATTTAACAGTTTTAGTGTGTTTAGTCTCCACAAAATATCGCAATAAGTATCATACCGTGAGATGTATATCATGAAAATATTGTCCTGAGAGATTTGGATATTATTACATCCCTCCCCACGATATCCTGAACTTTTCCCACAATATTGCAATAAATACCGTGAGGTTCATACTGTGACGATATCGTATCATGAGACTTTGATATCGTTACACCCCTACTTGTGAGCTTTAAGCCATGCTAGAATATTGTTAACTCATTAAAAACATACCTGGAGTGGTGTTTTGTTTCATTCACATGTTTGAGTAATCCTTTATTATTAGTCTGTCTGTATCTCCAAAGCTCAAAAGTGTAGTGCAGCACTCCTGATAGAACAACAGGACATCACAACACGGAAGAGAGTGTTTTCCGCCTAGGGGAATGTTTACACGAGAACGCTTGCGAGTAAAAATGACAATATATATATTTATAAGTGCCATTCATTTAGACGGTGACAGCGTTTTCGGGGCTTAAAAAACGCAAAAATCTGAAACCACCCTCCAGAGTGGAAAAGTTGAATACACTTCGCTGTAGCATTTTCGTCTACACTGCCCAAGACGCAAAACTCTGGCCAGATCTGCTCACGTTGCGTTTACGTCACATACATACAGCACACAGAAACCTGGCACGCATACCCAATCGAATTCCACACACTTTTGCGTCACCGTATGCACGCTGATTTCCTCCTGAAAACACTTGTCTAAACACGAAATAAAAAGTGAAGACGCGATGCCACTTTTGCGTCTTCTGTTCAGACCGTCATCATATAAACGTAGCCTAAATATGCAGTTTGTGTTTGTGTGTTTAAACGTGTGAATGAAACAAAACACAACTCCAGGTATGTTTGGAATGAAGAAACAACATTATAACATACAGAAAATAGCGTAATATGGGCCCTTTAAGCAGTTACTAAGCCTGAATCATTCTTAATAAACATATTATTCATTATCAATTAAGTCATGCTTTGTTATGGCTAATTAAGGAAAGTTATGATAAAGGTTTTTTCTTGAGAAACTTGAAATCATTCAGTCATTTCCAAAGTCATTTGCAGTCTGTTTTTATAGGACTAAGTGTGAAATACAAGCCAAGAATTATGTAAGAGTCTTGTTTTTTTTGTTTGTACTAAAGTATAAAAGAATAAGGGAACAATCATGATATTTTAAAAACAGTAAAAGATTAGATGATTGTAATGCATAAATGTTGCAAATGCCAACAATATATAATTTGAGCGAACCGTGGCCAAAATATACGTCAAAGGTAGCCAATTTTAATCTGTGCTTATCCACTTCTTGCATATAAAAATGTGTCTCTTTCTCCTGATTTAACTTTTGCCATCTTTTTATTTTACCATTCTGTTTTCTTTGGTATTAAAAACCTTTCTCATCCAAGTCTAAGAAGTTTCATTTGAACAAAAACTAAAATCAAGTTAAATCAGTCTTGTATTCAAACTTCTACATTATTTAGTTAAGTACAAGCGAACACTTTCATACAAGAGCAGGTACGTACCTCTCCCACCATCCCATTCCAGACGTTGTTGATTTTCTTGCCATGTTTGCCATTGGTTACCAGGTACAGGTCATAGGTGAACTTCACGTATTTCGCGATCTTCTTCAAAATGTCGATGCAGAAGCCTTTACAGCACTTTTTGATGTAGGTTCCACCAGATTCAGTCGAGTTGCTGTGAAAGAAAAAAACAAAAACCTTATTATAGTAGCTGTTTTTTTGTTTGTTTGTTTGTTTGTTTTTGGTACCTAGGACAGGATATCTAGACGTTGGTTGGGTCAAATGCCGAGAAAGCTTTTCCTGTCTCCATGGCGATGTTATTGTTGAGCCCGGAATATTCCAACATATGGCATTATACTCATCTGGCATATTTCTAATTACAGATGTTTTTTGCCAAACAAATTGTCTTGATGTGCACTGTTACTGTGAGCGGACTTGCCCGTCTACAAATCTGACTTGTAACTTCGCCTGCTTGTCTCAGTGAAAATAATTTTAATGCCATATTTTGAAACATTCAAGGCAAAGCGATATGAACTCCATGAAGAAAATCAGCTTTGTAGTGCACCTTTTAAGATGCTCCATAACCCGTGTCACTGGGTCAAGATTTTTGGTATTTGCAAAAAGAGAGAATGAGAGAGGGATTTCAAAAAAAGAAAGTTAGAGATGACAACCAAACTCCACCTCCTTAAAAGGGTCTGCCCAGTTTTGTATTTGAGCAAAGTTTGTCTTGCCTCAGTACAGTATACGTGTATATTATATTGTATATTGAGGTCAAAGTAAGTTGGTTGTGTACTTTCTGCATCTATTTCTAAAGTTTTTTATTGCCTGAGAAATCAAGAAGTGTGTAGTTAGTATGTGAAAAACTGTTAGTATTACGTGACCACAAAACTCTACTATGAAAAGTAGTAGTAGTATTTTATTCGGTCATTTTGCAGCACTACAAAACAAAACATAGACTGCAACCCCATGGATCATGACCGAAAGGGTTTAGGCTGAAGTAAAAAGTACTTATAATGCCAAACCCTTTTAAACAATGACAGAATTTCAAAAAACGAAAAGCAGCGTATGAACATCAAGTTTGCATTTACAAGTTCACCTACGACTTTCTGTTTATATAAGACACAAAATATAAATTGAAACAAACTAAATTTAATGCATAATGAATTGATGGCAGAGCTCTGTATCATTCAAAACACTTTATAATCTTTTTTTTTAAAGGCTACAACAGTGTTAAGACTTTTTTTTTTAATCATCACTCAGATTGTTCCATATACTAACCCCTCCAACAGAAATACTTTTTTTTCCCAAGATGCTAGTTTTGTTTTCAGTTATGGTCACACGAACCAACAATCAGTGGTGGGGAGTAACAGATTACATGTACCGGAGTTACGTAATCAGAGTACAAATTATGAGTAACTGTAATTCAGTTACAGTTACTGTTTCAGTGAGTGGTAATTGGATTACAGTTACTTTGTTGAAATAAATGGATTACACAGCGGTATTTTCCTGTTTTCACATTTTGGGCTAAACCAGGACTAAAACCAGGATTAAACCAGGTCTAAACCAGGTCTAAACCAGGACTAAACCAGGACTAAAAACAGGACTAAACTAGGACTAAACTAATACAGTATGACACTAACAATAGGGTGGACATAATTTAAGTAAGAAGTGATCTCATATAGAAAGCGATTCTCTATCAATAATATTTTTAATACAGTTAAGTAAAGACTGAACAAACAAGAAATTCAGGATGTGGTCGCTACATTCATGTAGTTTTAAAAAGCATGACAATATCAAGTAATCCAAAGTATTCAGATTATGTTGCTCACTTTAAGTAATTTAATGGATTACGTTACAAACTACATTTTGAGGTATGTAATCTGTAATCTGTAAGGAAATACATTTTAAAAATAACCTTCCCAACACTGCCAACAATAATGACAAAGAAGGCACAAAATTCATCGACCAAAACAAAAGGCAATGTTAAAGAAAAGCATCTGCCCTGCCAATAGTCGTAGTTTACTTGTGAAGAAAAGTGATTAGGACACTTGGAAAGCAGAAGGCATAATTATAATTGGCATGCGAGATCATGTCAAATATGTATTAAAGCTGACCCGCCAGCTACAGATAGGCTATAGAGACATTATTTATTTAAGATTTTGTTATTATTTTATATTATACTTGTTCTGGATTCAATGTTTAAGCAAAACTATTATTAAACATTTATATTAATAAGAAAGGGTCTACCATTACATATCTCAAAAGAAGAGAAAACATGTAGAAGTTCAATACATTTTTCAATAAATATATAGTTTGACCCACGACTTAGTCCTAGTTTTTAATTTTGGCCCTTTGTGAATCTGAGTTTGACACCCCTGGCATAAGGTAAGTGAGGAATAACCTTGGACCATTCTGAATGAACTACTACTTTTTTTTTTCACATTTTAAGTAAAAGTAAGTAAAAATCAGGTACAGCGCCTTTAACTCCAGTGCCCTTTGTTTTGATGCAGCATCTGGCGAACACAAAACACCTTGGTCAAACTTCTATTATTACCCTCATTTAAATCATCTCCGCGTGCACCTGGGACTCCTTCACCTTTAAGATCGGGTCATTTACTCTCCCGTGACAGAAAAACACCCAGAAGTCCCTCCCCCCGCTTGCTCGTCTTTTGTTTTGGACGGCGTTCTGTTGACGGACCATCTGTGGAAGTACGCTGAGAGTGCAGAGGTTCAGACAGAGATGGACTTGGAGCCACCCGTGAGTCTCATTTCAATTTCAGATGTGTGCTAATGAGACAGTATCACCCCGCGCTACGGTTAAACAACAGGGCGGACGCGAAGTTGATAGAAAGTGAACGGGGTCGATGAATTTGCAGTTACCTTGAAAGATGGCTACCGTGAGAGCGTTTAAAATTAACCTCAAATGTGAACTGTTTTGATTTGATCTTAAGTTATGTTGTGTTTTCGTTTTCCAGTGTGATTAACAAGCCAAGTACGAAACTGAAAGAAGTTGATCCTAAAAGTAAACTAAAAGAGGTTTCAGGCAAATGATTCATTCCTGATTTAAGGATTTTGTGAAGACTTTTCCCCATGCAAAAGAAATAGTAAAACAGTGAAGGTGACCATGCTTGTAGTATAAAAAATTATTGTGGTAGAGTAAACAAGCGGGCAAAAAAGGTCAGAGGCACTTGGTTGTAAATATTTTAAAGTGGTTACATGAGCCGAGGAAAAAGAAATAGTATTTTTATGTAAACTGCACTATTACAACAAAACTTTACATCTGAACAGTGATGTAAGTGGGGATTTTTTGAGTGGGGATATGCAATTTGTAATGTCATTATTACGGTCTAAACCAGGACTAAATTTGGACTTGAGAGAGAGAGGGAGAACTCCAAGCCTGTGGAGCAGGGTGTCCGCAAAGCGCGATCGGGCAACAGCTGTGCTTAACCCCGTGGGGTGTGGAAATCTGCGCCGGACCTTTCTCCTGTGGTCACCTGACAGTCTACGTGGGCGCACCTCTGGGCTCGTACTGGTTCGGTCCTGGTTTAGACTTGTTTTAGTCCTGTTTTAGTCCTGCTTCAGTCCTCCTAGTTCAAGTCCTGGTTCAGTCCTGTTTGAGTCCTGGATACCTCCGCCAAGGAGGTTATGTTTTTGCCGGCGTTTGTCTGTTTGTTTATTTGTTTGTTTGTTTGTTTGTTTGTCTGTTAGCAACATAACTCAAAAAGTTATGGACCGATTTTGATGAAATTTTCAGGATTTGTTGGAAGAACTGATTTCATTTTGGGGGTGATCCGGAAGAAATCCTGGATTCTGGATCACTTTGAAATTTTAGTTAACATTGTGGTAAATGGGGCCAAAAATTTTGTTTCTCAATATCTCGCTTAATTATTGACCAAACCCCATGAAATTTGACTCAGGGATGGACAATGGGATCCTCTTTCATATTCCAAAGGCTGATCCGGATCTGATCCAGAAGACTGATTTTATCGCAATTTATATAAAAAATGGGGGTAGTCCTTGGCGGAGGTCTGTGCTCTCTGAGTGCTTTTCTAGTTTAGTCCTGGTTCAGTCCTCCTGGTTCAAGTCCTGGTTCGGTCCTGTTTAAGTCCTGTTTTAGTCCTGGTTCAGTCCTGTTTTAGTCCTGTTTTAGTCCTGGTTCAGTCCTGGTTCAGTCCTGTTTAGTCCTGGTTCAAGTCCTGGTTCAAGTCCTGGTTCAGTCCTGTTTTAGTTCTGTTTTAGTCCTGTTTTAGTCCTGATTTAGTCCTGTTTTAGTCCTGTTTTAGTCCTGGTTCAGTCCTGGTTCAGTCCCATTTTAGTCCTGTTTAAGTGCTGTTTAATCCTGTTTTAGTCCTGGTCCCTCATGTCTCAAGTCACTATAGGACAGTCCTGCAGATATCATGACCCTATTGTTTTCACCATTGCCAAAAGCTCTGGTTTGACATTTAAGTTGTAGCTATTTTATATTTGTTTTTTGTTTTTTTTATATCTCACGTCGAGAGAAGTGGGTGGACAGTGTACTTTTACTGTCGCGTACCACGCCCACTACACCCTTGTATCTGAAATTCCTGTCTGTATCCCTAATATCCACCCCTAGCCCCTAATCCAAGTGTGGGCAGTTATTTTTTTCCATGGGGCCACATGAGAAACAGAAAATATTGTGGAGGGCCGGGCCAAAATGCTTAACTCAATTCTGCATCATATTCATTGAATTTCTTTATAAAAAGCAGTAAATAGCGTTGTTTTGACACACTGGTAAGACTGGTAAGAGTAAATGTTATGACTAAGCAATAAAAAAGTGAGGTTGCCTTACAAAAAATGTCATTAAAAACACCTCTACAATAAAAGTAATGCAGCTTTAGTCCATGCATGAGGTAAAATGATAAAATATGTTTATTTTGTAATTCCTGTACAATGCCCAGCTCTGCCCTAACCCCTCAAACACTACAGGCCTGCACTCTTACGCGGACTATATACTGCACTTATTAAGTTTAGTGCATTGTGGTTTACACTGACCAGTCTAGTGACCATCGCTGAACACTACTTTTCAAGTTGCACTGTGGCCAATTTTGTGTGCACATCTTTTTCACTCACTGGACATTCAGGCACTACTAAAAATGGTGTGACCCCTAAATAGTAACCAAAGTAGGGCATAGTGTGGACATGCAGACTCGGCCCATGAATTTATATGGCAAAAATACATCTACTTTAGGCATATATATGTTATTTAAGGAGGATTTCATAGTTTCTTTGTGGGTGTAGTTTTAAAACAATCTAAGAAAAAAAGATCCCCATATCGAGTTGTTGTGAATACTGTGATAACAATAATTTGGTGTTATATTGTGCAGCCCTACACTTGGAAGTACACATCTGAAGACATTTCCATAATTTTCATAACACTTTTACTTTCCCTAGAGTAATTTCTCCAATACTTCTTCCACCATTGATGCCTTTTATAACGTTAACAACAGGTCCTGCATTATCCCGGAGAAAATAACACCATCTGGTACCTAACTCTTTTACACGCCTGGGGGCCATCTTGGAGTGACTGAGCTGGAGGCCACTACTGCTGCTGCAATAACCCAGCTCACTGTGTCCATTTAGGCGCACCGTAATACAGTGAAGAGGAGGCAGGCCCGCAAATGTGATGTTATGGGCCCTGCTTGTGGACTGGCCAACTCGGCATACACAGAAACAGAGCCCCAAGGCGGTCCATGGGAGTCCAGCGCATGTGCGTGTGAGAAGTTGGACGCTTTCGAGCTTGGATGACTGAATTTTCTCCAACTGGGTATTGCGCAGTGGGTCGGAGGGTAAAGGGTGAGGGTATTGGCCTGTGAGCGAGTTAGTTATAATACTATACTTCTTTCTACCAGCAGGTTACATAACAGTTTTCTCACTCCAGATAATGTAGATTTCTGAGCTTTATACCATGTTATAAAGTTGTTCCTTCATCAAGAACATGCCTGAAGAAGTTTGTCATCCATGCCAGATTCGAACCCTCCTTATGGTTAGTTTTAAGATTCTGTTCCCATATTTTCCATAAATATACAAAAACATGACACAAAACTGTAAACAAAGACGCGTAGAGAGCAAAGGGAGGGTAGACTCAATGTCAAAAACAAAAGTGAATCTTCTAAAACAACACTTTGTTTTCTGCGAATGTAGCATTTTCAGAACAATAAAAGATACCATGGTGATCTAAATATGTCCACAGAAGTAAAATACCTCCTCTTTATAAACAAAAGTGATGTTGTAGGCGCTGTATCAGATTTTTACAAAAGCATGGAAAAAATGAACAATTTAATTTCTGCAGTGGTCCAAACTTATTCCAAAGACAATAACTAGCAAGCTAATAGTGCACCTTCCTTATTTGCCTAGTGTGCAAATGATAAAAACACTTAGTTGCACACCATTGTCTCATTTTGGCCCTAAAAGTTGATTGGTAACACTTTAGTTTAGGGACCACATATCAGAGACCTGGCCCTGATGGGTACGGGCAAATAGTTGCTGAAATGGGCGAGTTTTAACGTTCTGGAATTTTGTGGGCGGGAATGAGGGTGGGTTGTGACTGCACATGGGCGGTCAGGACTAAATCAGGACTAAACCAGGACTAGACTACACCGGGACTAATTTTGGACTTAAGAGAACCTCGAGCCAGAAAAGCAGGGTGTCCGAAAAGCACGATCGGGCGACGGCTGCGCTCCGTGCGACGTAAAATTTTATTTATGTGTGATTTCCAGTTTAAATTATGGTCCATAGTTACTCCTAGAAACTTGTTTTCAAAGACTCTTTCTAGTGGTGTATTACTGAGCATAATTTGTTCATAATTTTGTTTTGCAAATATCATAAATTTTGTTTTTTCTACGTTTAGCGACAATTTATTAATATCAAACCAGACTTTAATTTTATGTAGATCCCTTTCCACCATTTGAAAAAGCTGCCTTTGGTCTTCACCTGAGCATTGGACAGGATCACAACCATGAGTAGGTATGAATAGGGCCTAGGAGAGATTGCTAAATTACTGAAACATGCATGGACGACGTCTAAAACCTCTTCAGGCATGTTTTTGATGACATGATAATATGGTACAAAGCTCCAAAAAGTAAATTCTGCCTAATACCTCCTCTTTAAAAACCAAGTAACAACAAAACAACTACTTCATCAAAACAAATATTCTTCCTCTCCAAGTTATTCTCTCTGGGCGGGGGGTATTGGACCGTGAGCAAGAGGACATGTGGAGCAGTGGACATGAGCTGCTCCTTGGAGACGTGATTTCAGTCCGCCCTACTTCACAGCACTATTCTGGATGGGCAGTCCCAGTTGGGCTTCGCGATGGGGATCATGGGGCTATATTACGACTTAATGATGCTGAAGAGTTAATCCAACCAGGAAGATACTAAACTTATTCATACCTTCATTTGTTGCTGTCAGTCAATCACAGCCTACCATTCTTCTTTAAACCAAATCAGTCTTCAAACTTTACAAATACATCATCTCTTCTTGCTGTTTTTTGGATCAGAGGAAGAGTAAAGCATCTGCCCCAAAATTCGTGAACAAAACAAAACGATTATCAAATGATGGGACCTGAAATGGGACATATTTTTCCATTTCTTGTCCAACACTAAGCGAGCCCCGCAGCAAAGATATATTTGATTATTAATTTAAATTGGCCAATTTAAGCCAATTAAGTTTAATTTGGTTGAAGTCATAGTAATCATGATTTGAGTAGTTTAAGGTTAAGGAGAGACCATTTGAGATATTCCTGAATAGTTCAAGTAATATTCTCGCCTCTAACTAAATTATCTTCCAGCAGGGTCCATTGTAATTTTCTTACTCCAGCTAAGTATATTAAAATAGTCTTAAATACACTTGAAACTCAAAAAAATAGCCATTAACTAATCAACTTACCAAACCAAGTCATAAGTCCTGGTTTGGAACTGGATCTGTGGCTGATAGTAGATATTTGCCGGTACTGACATTTAGCTTTTAAAATCCATAACAAGGTCCACAAATGTATTTTAAGTTTAAGCAGAGATCAAAAATTTACTTTTCACTTTTGTAAAAATGATAACAAAATGCATTTGGATAGATAATACTTATTTATCACGAAGGAAATGCATTCATATGTGGGATATAAAATAATTTGTGACATGTTTTGGTAACAATACAGATATATTTTAGCCTAATGTCTCTTCTACTTCCATTTTTACTCATGAGTCTGTTCAAAACATAGACTGTATAGATAAATCAACACCAACTCGCTACATGAACTCGCTCCTGATTTAATTTTTGATTTTATTCAGATCCCAATTAGCTGATGTCCGTGACACCAGCTACTCTTCCGGATGCCATAGTCTCTGGGTCCATTTCACTTTCTTTTGAAAAACTGCTCCTCTCTTTGTAAATGCTGTTGTGAGCCGCGTCATTTTGGTCTTAAAACGTGTGTACATGATCCTGATGTTTATATTTAGCTATTTTTTCAGTACATCGACGTAAAAACATTGATAACAGACAAATCAGGCGCCTTCTTTCACTGAGGTCCCTCCCGGTAGAGTAGAGCAAAAGGTTTGATTGACAGGGCTGTTAAGCGCCCTCCCCACGCCAAACCAGCAGAGCGAGCGGGAAGCAGTGTTTCCTTCAACAGCCTCACCCCTATAACCCAGAGGTGGGACCAAGTCGTTGTTTTGAAAGTCTCAAGTAAGTCTCAACTCTTTGACCTCAAGTACGAGTCAAGTCCCAAGTCAAATACAGGCAAGTCCAAGTCGAGTCTCGAGTCAATGACCCAGGAGTTCAAGTCAAGTCCAAGTCGTCTGCTTTGAGCTTGAAGTCATTTAAACTCTTTTAAACTAAATTGTACTTAAAAAGTCATGGTATACTTATATTAGAGTATTATATAAGAGTTGTAGAAATGTACATTTTTCCTTTTTAAATGTCTGGACAAGAGTGTGAATTATTAAGGTCAAAACGGAAAGAATTCAGATTTAAGAGCTTAATAACAGTTAGTTTGTGAAATGGTCTAAGCATCAGGTCTTCTCAAGTCACAGGGCTCAAGGCCGAGTCAAGTCTCAGGTCACTGATCTTCAAGTCCAAGTCGAGTCCCGAGTCTTAATCCATTTTATCAAATCAAGTCTCAAGTCCTAAAAATAGTGCCTCTAGTCTGACTCGAGTCTTACAAGTCCCCACCTCTGCTATGACCTCTAGCCTCGATAAGCTTCATTTGACTGGAGCCTGAACACTGCATTAATCCACTTCTTTATACAGTCTATGGTTCAAAAAGACAAATCTGATGCACTGAGAACAACGGAAATGACAATAAATGATCGATATTTGCCAATCCCGCTAATGGAACCGACATTTTGCCCATCCCTAATTTACATTTTCTGAGGTGCTTTTATTTTCTTTTTTTCTAATTCCAGCTTTATCGACTACTCAAATCAAAATATTCTTGTACTCACTCCTTGATGTGCTTTCTGCAGGGCACAGAGTTCCTCATGCAGGTGCCGGTGAGCCTCTCCACGTCCTCCACGATCACAAAGGGCTTCTCCTCCAGAGTGACGATGGACAGGTGGTTATCGTCCAGCTCTGCGTCTCCGAAAGAGTTAAAGCGAGGCCACACTGGGTACTTGAGGCTCAGGCTGCGGTTGTCCACTTTACCCATCTGGAAACATCATACAAAAGAAATGGATTAGAGAATTTGCAGGTTTAAAACAATAAAAAAAGAACTTCTTCATTTTAAAGAGTTTGCAAGAGTCCAAAGTTATTCCTAAGTTTTCTACCACTTTCCTATAGCATCACAGTTTCTAAGCGCACAGTTTTTCTTTTTATGATTTTTTAATACCTATACTATTGTTGTATAATAGTTGTTGTTCAGCACTTTGGTAAGCGTTGGCGGTTTTAAATGTGCTTTCTAAATAAACTTAATTCGATTTGATCAACAACTTGCATTCTAAAGCGGCACTTTTTTAGTCACGGACGATAAAAAATGCTTTAGAATTAGAAGCCGACGGCACAATACGTGAAAAACAAAAGCCTTAAGGTAAATTTCTGATTCAAGGGTGAGCGATGCTGAAAAAAAAAACAGCTCATAATGTGGTATTTTTAATTCTCACAATGACAATAATCAAAACATATTTTTGCAATCCATCCAAACAAAAACAACAACAACAAAAAAAACTGTACTTGAATGAAAGCTTTATTTTTTGTGCTACATTTCACCCACTTTGAGATTTGATTTAGAATGGTCCCTGAACGATCCTTGAATGGTCCTTGGTCCAGTGAAAACCGCTTTTTGGTCCAGTTATTCAGGCCTGTATTGGTTCTGGCTCATACCTGGTTTAGTATTTATAAAGCAAAACATTTTGGGCTGATGTTTGATGAAAGGGTTTTAGAGCAAATGAGAATCAACGACGCAGTAGATTTCCAAGAAACAGAGTCCAGAAAATAGCTCATTTCAAATTCGAACAGAGCACGGCTATTTTTGAACACAATCAATCTGGTAATGCAGCTAATATGAAGACGTGCCAGCGGCGGTGTACAAAACTGAACGACTGAACTGAAGAGTCTATTACAGGTTGGTAGTACTCAGAGTTTTAAGAAAACCACATTTTTATTTATACTTAAAGGGCCCGTATTACTATATTCTGTGATATAATCTAGTTTCCGTTAATAAAGAGTTCCTCAAACATGTGTGAATAAAACAAAACACAACTCTAGGTATGTCTTTGATGAGGTACCGTTATCACATGACTTAAAGCTCACAAGAGTTAATTTTGTGTGAGATAGATCCTTAAAATTACTTTAACTTCTTTTACCTTACCTTCAGATATGAGTTTTTCCACAAATTTCTCTTCTTTATAAGTACAAAAATCTGTCATATATTTAATGATTAGTTAGATTACATTTTTAATACATTTCACATCTAAAGTGTTATGTAATACCCAACTAATACTGAGGTTACGTTTACACTGAAACAAATCACTGTTTCACCATATTGGAAAAGATCTGCGTCCAGACACATTGTTTCTGTGTCCACAATCAAAGCCTTCCCTATCCACACAGTAACGCGAAACCGCCTGAAACGCTAGTCACATGACTAGGCTGGCGTCACAACGTCACGTGGGCAGTAAAAACAAGGAAATGGACCGTGTCTGAAGTTGTAGTAGCAGATTTCGAGCCGAGGAAGCTGGCAAGTGTCTTTTCTACTCGCAAGTAGTTCTGGCTACACTGTTTCCCATTTGTCTATGGTTTGTTTAAACTGTTTTCCACAACAGCGTCACATGACCAATGTCACGAACCCAGCGAATCAGGAAGGCGCAAGTCACAGTGACGTGATCCAATAACATTTACATTACATTACATTTGATTATTTATTTCGGTCACAGGTATATTTTGACATTAATTCACAGACAGTCATATTTAACATAAGGACAGCAACTAGAGCTCCTACATCAGTGTATCAGCGTTTTCAAGCGTCCACACAGTGCTGGATCAGATCTGGACTGTCGGCACCAGTTCGTTCCGTCTCTGGAGCCATTTTCCATCGGATAAGTGTGGACGAACACTGCATCAGCAACGAAAACTACTCGAATACGTACTAGTGTGGATAGGGCCTGAGTATATGGGTCACTACTTTGTACTTCTGCTTGAGCAATAATATTATGTTTACACAAATTTTGTCTATTACCCATTGTTATGTCTTAGTACGACTTAATGGTCTTCTACCCATTTTTTCCCGCACATTTGAACAATATGTGTCTTGTCCCTGATATACTGCACGTCTCGGGGTAAAAAAAAAAAAAAAAACATTGCCCGCTGTGTGTTGTTTGCATCTCATTAGAAATCATTTTATTGTTTGACGATTAGGAGGTACATGTTAGGATGTTTGTTGTTCTTAGCTTTACCGCTCTGGTCTCTGAAAGTTGTGAAAAGTGCTTATAAACTAATCACGGAGAATAATTAGGATGCCCAAAATGCATAAGGTGAGGAATGACTTTGGAACACTGCAAACTGTTTAAAATGAAGTAGTTTTTCAGACAGTAAAAATCAGGTACAGCTCCTTTAAAGATAATGACGCTACATTTTGAATTTACTGCATTAGACATAATACAAGAGAACATCGAAGTTGGACCAAGCAATTCAACAAAAGTACTTATTATCTTGCTTTATCATACTCTCAGACCTCTCTCAGATCTTCACATATAATTACACTATTCGAAACCCTATTACAGGCCACAAAAGGACCCCAGGAGTAATGGCGTATTTTGAATCCGATTGAGTTTTGTGCAGATGCTTGGTGCTGTACAAAGCCCTGATTGACAACTATAATGAAGAGGCGCTGTCAGGAGTCGGGGGGAGGCAAATCTGGAGAGCGGTGGGGAGTCCTCTGTCATCTGCATAGCGCTACACACCAGCTGTCTCGGTGTGGAATTGTGTTGTTTTACGCACAAATAAAATGATGTAGATTAAATGGTGGTGTTATTTTAGGCTGGGGTATTTTCAGTTGTATGGACGCTAGAAGGCAGACACCAGATTAATGAAATGTCACTGTACGATGTAATGACATAGCTTATAAATACAAATTGGATACAGTCATTTTGTCTTGGAACTGTAGCAAAGGGTTATGGTCTATGTAGTTCTCTGGTTTATATTCTATTCCAGTGTAATACTAGTCTGATTCATCAGCCAGTTTCACTTTGTGGAAACCGTCTGACCTCACAGCATTAGCATTCATTCGCTCGACGGTAGGCGGGTGCTTTTTTTTACTTAATCAATCACTGCTAAATCCTCTAGGAAGAAGGGCAATAACGCCTTTCCCCTTGATCAAATTCACCAAATATTCTCTTTAAATCCTGGATCTCGGGAATCGTTGCCAACACAAAATGTATGTGTTCGTCTTCATCCATCTCGACCGCTTTGTTTACTGTTGTGCTGTACCACAAAAGGGACCCAGACAGGCGCTTAAGTTTAACATCATGGCTTCACAGCTCTTCACTGATTGGCCAGAGCGAGGTCTACAACTTCTGGGGTTCTTGCAAACAATCTAGTGTATTCCGATTCCTGACCTAGTCTCTGGAGAGAAATGAAATTGAGCGGCGGCACTAGGTGGCACCAGCCTGGCTAGTATAACACACAAAATGCATGTTAAATCCAGGGACTTGACATTTAATTTAAAGGTGGACGATGTAACTTTTCTGGAGGAGGGTACACTTACTTGTCTCCATGGATGACTGTGTAATCTCTCAGTTTTCCAGGTAGGATCCATAGCAAGAATTTTTACTTTGCTATTTGTCTCCACGGAGATGTTGGTCGACATATCGGGCTGATATTTGCACTTTTTAGCAATATTTAGTTTTGTACAACTTGCTGCCTAAAAAGTACATATAAAGTTTATTTGAAGACTTTAGTGCAAAAAGATAACTGCACAAAACGTGACTGCACAGCTCTCGTCTTATCGGTTTGCAGTAAAATATCCCGAGTTTGTAATAAATGTCCATAACAGAATTTGCAGAAAATAATGAAAACTGGCCTCACAATCCTACCCAAAAATATTGGCAGAACTTATCGACCATTGGTTACTGGAGTGTTGTATGGCAATAAACATACAAGTATTTATCTCCATGGAAATGCCACCAGGCCAACAAGTAACAAGTAACATTCGTGCAGAGGCAAGTCCGCTCACAGTAAAAATGCAGGTGTTTTAAGGTATTGGTTGAGCAATAAAGCACCTATAATTAAATAAACATAAGGTAAAACCATACTGCCATACTGTGGAACATTCCAGAATTATTTATTTATTACCTCCGCCAAGGAGGTTATGTTTTTGCCGGCGTTTGTCTGTTTGTTCGTTTGTCTCTTAGCAACATAACTCAAAAAGTTAAGGACCGATTTTGATGAAATTTTCAGGATTTGTTGGAAATGTGAAAAGGAAGAACTGATTTCATTTTGGGGGTGATCCGGAAGAAATCCTGGATTCTGGATCACTTTGAAATTTTAGTTAACATTGTGGTAAATGGGGCCAAAAAATGTTGTTTTCTCAATATATCTCGGTTAATTATTGACCAAACCCCATGAAATTTGACTCAGGGATGGACAATGGGATCCTCTTTCATATTCCAAAGGCTGATCCGGATCTGATCCAGAAGACTGATTTTATCGCAATTTATATAAAAAATGGGGTAGTCCTTGGCGGAGGTCTGCGCTCTCTGAGTGCTTTTCTAGTTTCCAATTTTTTTTAACATTTTAAAACGTGGTATTCTCCCTCTGTATTTCAAATCTGTCATTTCTAATCTTTCCTATAAAGTAATCAGACTGACAATACGGCCAAAACATATGCATGATTTTCGCCAACAGCATAATGCATACGGCTCCCATAGCATAAAAAATTCAAGTGGTGTGGCGGTGCGTTCAATGACAGCAGATTAAAAACATGCACATCGACACACAGCAAAAGGCTCACACAGGAATATATGTGTTCTGAATAGCAACACATGGAAAAATACAGCTTGATAGCCCTGGCGAGTATTAATAATTCAGATGGTTTTCAGCATGGGTGCCTATAGACCTCTGCTACCTACTTACCAGCTAGCTACACCTGTCTACGCTGTATGCACCTATTTCTGTGCTATTTATGCATTTTTGAATGGGACACAGAAAGGCTTT